TGAGAGGTCTGTGTGTCTTGATAATCTTTGAGTTTTATTCTTTAGGCAATGGGGAGTTATAAGAGATTTAAATCCAGAACTTGATATTAACCCTGAGGTTAGTAAAAAAGGAACCAAGGAGAGAAATATTTGAGTGCTTGCCACATGCCAAATAACTCATTCTTAATTTATCTTAACTCCAAATACAACCCTTTTAAAAGGCATTGTATAGAAAATAAACTTGAGATTTGTTAATTATCCCATGGTTACACAGCTCAGAAATGGCAGCCATAAGGTTCAAACCCAAGATTCACTTTAAAGCACCTGTCCTTTAAGGCCTGCTTTAATTTTTCCTAAAAAAAGTCTAACTGAGGAAGGTGGAAGGGTAAGCAAAAGTAAACATATGTTTGCCATTTGGACATGTCTGTTGAGTTATATAGTTCAAATGAATTTCACCACTTATCTTCATACGATTTCCACTCAATATACTTTTATACACGTATTTGAGTCTTTACCTTTTGAAAGTATAAAACTATTTGCCCCCAATATATTTTTACTTATCACTTTTACATTTACATTTTAATATGTTCATGAGCTTATAATGAACTTTGGGGTGGCTGTGGGTTGCCATTGCTCCCCAACGAGACTCTAGCTGGCTTTGTTTCCCTTCAACTGTTTTGCCATCAGTTAATTTTCCTAGAATCTAGCTGGTTCTCACCTAACCTTTTCTACTAGCTGGCCACACACATGGCCTCAAGCTACTAATATCTATGGCTTCTTGACTTGCTATTTCTTGACTTGCTCTTTTCCTAAACTACACTGCCTCAGTCATGTTCAAGGATAGAAAGAGAAGCACAGCCTATTTGCTAGTCAAATTTGTGATTACTGACAAAGGTATTTAACTATTATTTTTTGAAAGTTCAAGTGGATAGGAACATTTCTAGTATTTCTTGGAGTATTTCTGGGTAGCTTCTAGATCTGTCCCTGAACAATCAGAGCTGTATTCCTTCTCTGCAGGTCCACCCCTATGTTTGCAGACCTGGGGCAAGAGTTCAAATAGAGGTCCATTTACCATAAACTTAAATATTTACAAATTATCAATCAAACTAACAAACTGTTACACAATAAGTACTCTGGTGTCCTCCTCTGACAAATACAGCTTCATAATAACTCGGAAGACCAGGTTATAATTCTTGGACTTCTTGGCAATCTTGTGGCCTTCAATTCCCACCCTGAGCTCCACCCTGCATTGCAGGGGCCTTGTGGTTAACTCTACCCTCACTTTAAACAAAAGAAAGTGACAGCTGACTTTGGATACCCCTTGGTCTTTAGTTTGCTCACACCTCTGGCAGGAAGAATCCCACCAAGTCCTGGAAGAGAGGTTGGGGCCATTTGTGCAGGAAAGTCTAGAGTCCTGGGTACCCAGAGGGTGGTCTAAGGGTGGGGTCATGAGCCCCGGAACTGTCATGCTCTATTTCTGGGTAGACTTCTCTTTGTGATGCATGGCTGGAGGGAGACCAGAAAGGAACCCTTTAAAGTGTGGTCCAGGGCAATATTTTTACTTATCACTTTTACATTTACATTTTAATATGTTCATGAGCTTATAATGAACTTTGGGGTGGCTGTGGGTTGCCATTGCTCCCCAACGAGACTCTAGCTGGCTTTGTTTCCCTTCAACTGTTTTGCCATCAGTTAATTTTCCTAGAATCTAGCTGGTTCTCACCTAACCTTTTCTACTAGCTGGCCACACACATGGCCTCAAGCTACTAATATCTATGGCTTCTTGACTTGCTATTTCTTGACTTGCTCTTTTCCTAAACTACACTGCCTCAGTCATGTTCAAGGATAGAAAGAGAAGCACAGCCTATTTGCTAGTCAAATTTGTGATTACTGACAAAGGTATTTAACTATTATTTTTTGAAAGTTCAAGTGGATAGGAACATTTCTAGTATTTCTTGGAGTATTTCTGGGTAGCTTCTAGATCTGTCCCTGAACAATCAGAGCTGTATTCCTTCTCTGCAGGTCCACCCCTATGTTTGCAGACCTGGGGCAAGAGTTCAAATAGAGGTCCATTTACCATAAACTTAAATATTTACAAATTATCAATCAAACTAACAAACTGTTACACAATAAGTACTCTGGTGTCCTCCTCTGACAAATACAGCTTCATAATAACTCGGAAGACCAGGTTATAATTCTTGGACTTCTTGGCAATCTTGTGGCCTTCAATTCCCACCCTGAGCTCCACCCTGCATTGCAGGGGCCTTGTGGTTAACTCTACCCTCACTTTAAACAAAAGAAAGTGACAGCTGACTTTGGATACCCCTTGGTCTTTAGTTTGCTCACACCTCTGGCAGGAAGAATCCCACCAAGTCCTGGAAGAGAGGTTGGGGCCATTTGTGCAGGAAAGTCTAGAGTCCTGGGTACCCAGAGGGTAGTCTAAGGGTGGGGTCATGAGCCCCGGAACTGTCATGCTCTATTTCTGGGTAGACTTCTCTTTGTGATGCATGGCTGGAGGGAGACCAGAAAGGAACCCTTTAAAGTGTGGTCCAGGGCATGGACCATAATTGCCCTGGCCAAGAGTGATTCTGCTTCTCAGTTTTGCATGGCCAGGATGGGAGCAGAGTACTCTGGCCAGTCACATTGTAGGAATTAGCAGGTGAGAGCCAAGGCAAGATACAGCTGGTACTCCTTCCTACCAAATATTAATGATTAAGAAAATGTATCTTGATAGGAAGTTTCTGGAAAGATTCTCACAGGCGTTTGGAACCCTACCACTCTTCCTTTGCACTGAATTTCCTTGGCCTGGGGCTTCCTCATCACACTGTAAAATTGAGTTCATCACCTGAATTATTCCATCATTTTGCTCTTCCTTTGCTTTAGTTGTCTTGGTAGTTCAAGGGAGTGTAACTCTTTAGCCTGGACTCCAGATACTTATTGTTTAATCTCCTCTTTTCTTTCAGGATATAGACTTGGTTAGCTGAATCAATCTATAGATCCATGGTTTTCTCTAGACTTACTATTCTTTCTCCCTTTTATTAAAAGTTCCAAGTTATATTTGCCACTATTGAAACAGACATGTAAATACAGTTAGAGAAAGATATATGAAGAATTCTTTTTGATATAATGTTTATTGAGAAAATAGTACCATGAAGCCTAAAAATAATTTTGTTTCTCCACTTTAATAATAATTGTTTACACTTCATTCAAAGAATGAATGAAATAAATTAAGTTCCTGGGTGCTAAAGTTTCAAATATACTTTGAGGCAAAACATTAATGTATAATACTGCAATTTTTTCAGAAAGATAAGTTGAAGACTGTTAGAAAATGAACTTGAAAATGTTTGCTTATGCAGTGTAAGCTTTCGAAAGTTATTTTTAAAGACTGAGGAATTAAGCACCTGTCGTTTTTGCCAGCTGGTGTAGATGTTAAAAATTACTGTCACTCTTCCGCCCTCTCTTTTGCACCTGCTACTACTTGAGTTATAGGCATTTCACACGTGGTAATTCAATAAGGTTAGGTCCCATGACTGTGTACTAGATGTTATCTTACTGGGAGTTAAAAGCAGTTTTATAAGGTCTTGAGGGAAAAACATTAAATATGAAGCTTGAGACTAAAAATTCCTTGTAGACACCACATTTTTCTAATTGAAAAATGTTGGAGGGGTATGGAAGAGGGGAAATTTAGCCATATATTCTAAAACAAAATGAGCCTTTTATGATTAGACTATTTGTACCAGTCAACTTCTCTACATGGTGCCATTTGTAATTTTTTTAAAAAAACTTTTTATTGCCTGATGTAACAATCAACTATAAATATATATTCAAGCCTGCACTTTTAATATGGTATTCATGAGCCACATGTGGCTATTTAAATCAATTAACAATTTAATTCTACAGTAACATTAGCCACATTTCAAGTGTTCAGTAGGCACATGTGGCTGGTTCCAAATAGCACAATGTAGATATAAATTTCCATTTTTACTGAAAGTTCTATTAGATGCTGCTGTGTGAAACTTCTAATTCCTGGTCTCAGGCAAACATGGCATTAAAGAACTTGAGGCCATAGTGAATTTTTCTTCAGAGAGTGATTATAAGGCACCAACATCATCTTGGCTACAAAAGCATAGGTCAAAGTTGAAACTGTTGACTACTGGAATCTGGGTGACCTTTGCTAAAGATGGAGCATGTTGACCTGAACTGCCCAACCTCAGGGAAAAGTTGTTTCAGCATCCAAAATTTGTTTCAGCTTTGAGCTTGTACAGGTAGGCAGGAATTTTTCAGAGATTTTATAATTCTTGTAAAAAGGTGTTACAGATATCTTTTTAGAGAATGGGAGAACTACTTATCACTTTGTCTTTTCTAAACATTCAACTGCCAACCTGCAGATTTCTGCCTCTGTTCTAAAGAAAAAATGATACATGATAACATTATACTATAACAAAGTAAGTGCACATGAAATCTTCTATCAATTAGCCTTACCATTTAGGACATGTATTTAAAGACTGAACCAAGATTTTGGGACATGGACCTGCAATGTAGAGGATATGATACAGAAGAGAGAGTACTAATAGACAGAATCTTGAGTTCTTGAGTAACAGTCTCATTTCCAGAGAGGTTTTTTTTTAAGTAACAGCTAAAAGGTCATTTAAAATTTTATCCCTGAAGACTTTAGTGAGAAGAATCAATAACTTATTAGACTTATCCAATAGGCCAGATTGTTATTAGAAGTGAAATAGATCAAGCCAGGTATACAATGACTTACACCAAACTGAAGAAATTTCATCTTAATTGCCTTGATAGTTTATATTAAAATGTCTCTGATACTATCTGAATTTTCTCAGTTCTCTATTTCACTTTTTCATCAATATATGATTATAATCATTACTGCATTTGTTATTGCTGTGTAGTGATTTATTTTTCAAAAGTTTATAATTCATCAATTATGGACATTAACAAAAATAGTGAGGTTTTAAACATTATTTTCTCTAAGCAAGAAGACAGAAATGCAATGCAACTTGAACATTCTAGACTGACCAAAATTATTTATTATTATTATAAGGATGTTCTTTGACCCATGGTTGAAAATGAAGAGTGGTGCTTGGATTTGAGATTATATTCAGGATTTTATCCTTCTCATCTAGAGCAGGAGGCATTTGGTTTGTGTGATAAATACAGTTCAGAGAGGAACAGAAGGTATATAAAAACTCAGGAAGTCCTTCAGTCTAGAGCAGTCCACATGATTTTGTTTTTATGAATGATGGCAAACAGATTTGGACAGTTTGTCATGGGTGTTATTAAGATACGTTTCCAGCCAGTCTTCCTAAACAATGCTTGATCTGTAAAGGAAAAGGGAAAACAAGTTAGATGTTGATTGCATCTTTTCAGAAAGAAAACTGGGGAGGAAATAATGTGAAGTGCAAAAGAAGAAAAAGCACACAATGAACCACCACTTTCAAAGTAAGTTACTTCCTAACCTGGTTGCAAGTGGTTAACTATGGTCTGTGATAACGTGGTTTTCTAGAACAGTAATTGTTAAAAACTATGTCAGTCATTCAAAGAACTTAGGTGCATGTTTTTATTAGCGTTGCATTGCAACTAAACTAATTAACTAGTCTCTACCTTGTTGACTCTCTTCTGCAAAATTATGGAACAAAGATGAGGTTTGTAGATGAGGCAAACATGTCAGAAGTTTTTGCCTATATACTTGCACACAAATGCTCTATTTCCAAATAATCCATTTCAAGGAACTGATGTATTCAGGTTAATATAAATAACTCTTAATTAAGAACTAATGCTAATTGTATCTACAGCATATAAAATGACACTTACATTTTAAAAAATACAATATCAAGAAAGCCTCATACAGTAAAGAGGAAACAGAGGTACATACCTTGAGAGCTCCTTTTAGTTAGACATTATATGCTTGACAAAAGCTGTAGGCACAATATAGACAGTTTAGAGTTAGACAACAGTCAAATTTAATAAAAGAAGTTTAGCAAGTTTGCTCAACTCTCATTTTTCTTAGCTACAATGCTAGTGTTTATTTTTTAAAGCTCTGTACAGCCCATTATTCTTAATTCTGGATTTATGGCCTTTCCCTGATTTCATAAATTTAACTTTTTTGAATAAGTGTTATATTCACATGGTTAAAGGTTTTTCTTTAAAGTATGAAAGAGTTTATAACAAAGTTCCTCACCCTTCTCTCCCAGCTATCTAGTTCCTTTCTTTATAGCTTTATAGTTGGTGGAGTTATTGTGCATGTATAAAAAAATATAAATGTTTCTAAAATCATTTTTACCCAAATGGTGGCATACTCTAAAAATTATTTTGTACTTGCTTTTCTCACTGACTATATCTTGGAGATATTACCATAATGGTAAACAAGAGTGTCATTATTTTTTAGGGATGTAGGGAATTTAATTGTGTAGGTATACTAGAGTCTATTTAATACATCCTACATTGGTGGACATTAAATTATTCAAATATTTGGCTATTACAAGCAACACAGTAATAAATAATTAAGTATCTAGCTCTCATTTCACTTGGGCACACAGTCTAAAGACTACATCTCTTGAAGTATATTTGTTCAAATTAATAGTATCATATCACCATGTAGAGATTTTAATGATTCACATTTCCAAAGGAATGCATGAAATCAACTGTATCCCACACACTCTCCTCAACCTAAAGTGTGCTCACACTTAATTTTTGGCGATCAACTTATTGAAAAATGTTATTTCAGTGTAGTATTAGTTTGCATTTCTTTTATTCTTTTATTATTAGTGAAGTTTAGTATATTACATTCATCTATATTTTTATTTCCTTTTCTATTAATGATCTAGGTACTTGTTAAATTTCCTTTTGATTGTAGTCTTTTTATTTATTTGTAATCTTTTTTTTTAATTAGGGAAATGAGCTTTTTCTGATACTGATCACAAACACTTTTTTTCTGGTTTGTTGTTTGTCTTTTGACTTTGCTGGTGGCTTTTGCCATATAGATTTTTAAATAAAAGTTATGTGATTGAATTATCAAAAGTTGTAATGCCTTCTGGGTTCTGTATCACTGTTTGTTAGAAAGGCCTTCCCACTTCAAAAGTTATAAAATAATTCTTCCATACCTTTTATACTTTTAGCTTTTACATTCAAATTTTTTATCTATTTGAAATTTATCCTGGTATAAGATCCAGAGATGTGGTTAGGTTAGTCTTTTGGGGGATATATAAGTCTCTCAGTTTTAGTGGAAAATTTTAAGTTTACAAAAATGATATCATGCAACTTTATTCTGCATAGTACATTGCTTTTCAGACCTTCTGGATGAAGCTGATCTAAATTTGTAGCAGGAAATAGATAACTGGCCACTATGAGATAACTTTTATTTAAGCAAGAGCACTAGACAGGGAGAAGAACTAAATTTTAGCATCAGTCCTGCCATTAATGATGTGACCTTCACTAAGGAAACCTCTTTGCCCTTCAGCTTCTTCATTTTCATAAATGCTTGGTGTAAAGGATTTTGTGATCTCTCTTACTTTAATATTCTACTGAATTTTATTCTGACACAAACCCTCTCTATCTTACAGGGGTGTTAAAAAGATTTAATAAGGAAAAAATACATGTGAAACACACTTTAGTGCTGTACAATAATGCACGGGAGTGCTAAAACCCATTGGAATAAACATTAGGTAGATAGTCAGATACACTACATCTTTTTAGGGTTTTGTGTCATTGGCTGATAATAAATAACATGTGCATGTTTAATAAGGGAGGCAGAGAAAAAGAAGATATTTTAAGCTCAAAGGAAGTCCATCATCAACCCAACCAGCTAAGAGTTTCTGTAACCACTGGAGCATGGGAGATGTACCTTCATAGTTGATGCAGCCATTGGAGTCTTCTTGACCTGCCATCAGGGCTTCTACTTCTTCCTCCTTCATTCTTTCCCCTGATGAAATAAAACTCTTTGTTCAGAAACAAGGCCAAAAGATACTTTAAAAACTCCCCCATACATTTAGGACTCCTGGAGACTATGACCAAGCTCTTGTAGGATAGGAACCAGGCCTTCCCTGTACCTCTGGCCCTTAGTAGTTGTCAATAAATTGTTTTTGAGTCAATGAATTAAAAGCACATTATACCTGATCACCCAAACTGTACCTTACAGGAACTACAATGCTTTACTTACTCCTTACCGGGAATTTTGGATACCAATTCCCCAAAACAAATTCATTGATACCGAGGCCAGTTGAAATTCTGGTTAACTTTTGACTGTTCTTTTTCATTTTTTCCTATAGTCTTTCCCCCTACCTATGTTGGTTATATTACAGTTTCTCTAAATCATGCTTTTTCTTATATATTCTGTCCTATTAAGTCCACTGAAATAAATTTTCTTTACCCAGGGTGGCGAGCACGTGACGGAGCTCAGCACCCATGACCGTGCCGTTGCCTTCCTTGTCAAACACACGCAGACCCTCCACAAAGTCCTCATAGGTGCCCTGGTCCTTGTTGTTGGAGATGGCTTGCATCATGGGCAGAAACTGTTCAAACTCAATTTTCTTCGCATTCAGCTCTGCAAGAAAGTGCCATCTGGAGTTATTAGCCACCATAAAATGCCATCTCTGGGTCACAAATTAAACTTGAAAGTTCATCCTAGGTGATCTGAACGTCTCTGTAGAGCTTAAATTTCAGGTGGTAAGTTGCTGATGACAAAAGTTGGTAGTAGATAATTGTTTGTGCTCTGGCGTCCTGGTGCCTGTACTTTTATTTCCCATCTACCATTTACAACTATGTCTCTTTCCCTCTTTGAGCCTCAGCTTTTTCACCCATAAAATAATGTCACTTTACAATGTTTGTGTAAGCACTAAATTACACAATACATGCAAAGTTTATCACAGTACCTGGGACAAACTGAGAACTTAGTGCTAGCTGCTATTTTATTAGTATTGGCAATTTAATATTTTTTATAAATACTAGGGAAACAATATAATGATATACTGATACAATAAAAAACATATAAATATAGTAAAACTAAACTGAACTCTAAAAGTACTCCACCTTTGTCCTGAGCTTTTGTAGAGCTCCAATTTCTTGAAATGTTAAGTAATTTAAGGAAGTTAAAATGTGAGAGTGTGTGTCAAATGCTGTGTGTGCTCACCTCACTTGTTTTCAGGTTAGACGCCTGGAAGTGATAAATCTCTCTTTAGTGTCTTCTGACAGGGTAAAGCATTCACAGCAAAGTATAAAACAGACTGACCAGGTGTATGCAAATGGATAAAGTTATGTAGCTCTAAAAATCAGAGCTCTCTTTTACTAGTTTTTCCTCATAGAATAGAAATCTAGCATATTGAGTAATATAAAAAGATTAAATTTGAGTGCTGAATAAATGAACATTTACTTCATAATTCTATTAAAGATAGATGTTTGATAATTTAGAAAATGCATAACAAAAAAGATTTGGCTTATTGCTCTCTCGCTTTATCTCATGCTCTCTGTTACTTTTTGCTTTTTCCAGGATGATGTACTTGGAAATTTTCCTCCAAAGAAAATGAAGTTTGAGGAAAATTCTAGCAGACTGCTTCAGAGATCAGTTTTCTCAAAGTGAAGTCTTTTTGCTTTTGTATCACAGGAAAATTCTCTTTTTTAGTTATTAAGGAAAAAAAGAAATTATTTGCTCTCTCATCCTGTTTTTCCTTATGGCAAAGATAAACAGCCCAAATATCTACTTTAAAAATTTTCAGTTTTGCCTTTTTTAACATTTTTATTCAGGGTAGTATTTTCCAATAGACTATCATACTTTGCCAAGAGCCATTGGGATTAAAAAATGTCCTTGTTCCAGACTAATAACTGGGTTACTGTTTGGAGCAAATGACTTCTGCTGTTTTGCCACTTCTGTATCTCACTCACTTTCATCCCAGGATTTACCCTGGGAGACTGAATGCAGGTTTTGGTTTAGATTTTTAATTCTTCCTGTAATACTTTGGAAATAAAAAAGACTTGTATTAAGATGTCATCCTGTCTGTTGTGAATTAAGAGTGAGTTTCTTTTAAGATGGTCACAGAAGTCTGGTGTCAAAAGACAGAGCACTGGGCAAAGTCAGCAGGTATTTTCAGGCTCCTGAAGACATTGTGATTTCATTTCCACAGCTGTTATCAGAGTAGATCTTCTCTAGAAATGTGCCATTGTAAATTACTGGCTGTTGTATACAGAGTGCATTGTATTTTAGCCATATGTAACATCTTTACCAAAATGTATTTTTGTGTTGGAAGGTTTGCAAAATGTGCAGATTTGGATATCATTTCATTTCATTAACCTTTAAATTATGAGCATTAGGTAGGATGATGATGGTGATGTTAACATTAGATATTTCCTTTCATTAGCATGAAATTTTATCATGCATGCTAATTCTCAAAGGAAAGTTAACCTATTTTGTGAGGGGGAAAAACTGAATCTCTGGGCAGCCAAGAGGCACTTACCATAGAAGCAAATTAAGCTCTACTCTGTGAAACTTGTTTCTCCAAAAATTTTCCTCTTTCACCCCCTCCTCCCCACCAGCCCGCTGACACACACACACAAAAGTGCTTCCCAAGACTTTGGAAAAACATGTGGTTACCTTCATTGCTGGGGTTTCCCAGGACCTTCTTGACCTCTGCATTGGTGGGATTTGTGCCCAGAGCACGAAGGACGTCACCGACCTGGCTCAAGGTGATCTTAGATTCACCCGTTCTGTCAAACAGGAGAAATGCCTCCTTGAATTCTGCAAGAAGCAAGAAGCATTTAGGTGCTTTATTCTACCTCAGACCATTAAATTAACCCTATCATCACCAAGGATCCAGTTCAAACTTTCCTCTGTTTTACAACTTTAGCTGACCACTAAGTTATCTTTGGACTCTCCCTTTTCTGAGGTCAAACAATCATTGACACTGTTTGACATTTCTTTTTGGGAGTATTTTAAAGCAGTGTTTCCAATATCAATTCATATGTTATTAATCAGACATGGAAATTGGAACTCCTAGTCATATTTGTTCATATTTCCTTCAAGTGCTTAGAAAGCAGGACTGGGTTAAGAAATTCTGAGGCTTTGAGAAATCTTAAGAATTTCTTGTATGACCCTTCATATAATTAACTAGGTTAATAACATTTCAAGAAAACAAATTTTCAATTGAGGTTGTGTTGTGTGAGGTTAATCCAAGTTTCTCAAATTAAATAGAAAAATCTCCTCTCAAGATACAAACTTCCTAATGAATACAAACTTAATGAATTTTCTTCAGGAGTAACTTCATCTTTCAGGAAAGAATTAGGAAAGCAAGACAAATCTCTAAAGTTCTATAGTGTGATTTAACCATTTTAATATATGACTCTAGTAGGTATAATTGATTCAGAAGGGGGAATATTTGTTTGGTTCTCTCACTCTGGTAATCTTTTTAAACTTTATTCTTTTGTCAGATACAACATGTTGTTCTAGATACAGAATTTAAGTACACATTTTTTAACTAAAATTCTATGGAGATAGTTGTAAATTCATACACAATTAAAAAATACAGAGATCTCTCACTCTGGTTTCCCCCAGTAGTAACATTTTACAAAATTATAGTATGTTATCATAACCAGGACATTCATATTAATAGACTCCATAGATTTTACTCTGGTTTCCCTACTTTTACTTGTTCTAATGTGTGTATATGTAGGTACATATTTTTAAAGTGTTGCCTATTCTTTTTTATCACATTCAATCTATTGCTCATTTTTCCTAAATTTTTTCATTTTCCTTTGGTAGAGCAGATTTTGCCTTTCAAAATTACATTAACAAAGAATTAAGAAGTGTTTACCAAAAAGACAGAAAGGGATGCTTCTGTAGATTTAAGGGCTACAAAGACATTTTAACTGAAACTTTTAAACTTAGGCAAATGAAATTTTCCAGGGAACCCAAAGTACTGTAATGGCAACTTGCTGGAGTTAATACCAACAGTCAAAAAACAATTTGTGAATGAACTAGTAGAGGTGAAAGCATTCTTTTTAGGCCATTAGTGGCTTCAGATCAAAAGATGCTATCTACATAGATACTCAGCAAAACACATTATTCTACTGTTCCTCCATGTCCCTCCGACCCCTAATTTAATTTGCATCAAAATATTCTATAGATCAAAAACTATAGATCACGTTATCATTCTTTGCTAAAATTTCCTGCTGAAATTCTATGTAATTTGACTATAGTGGATCACTTCTCTAATCTAAAGAACATGCTGCAGGCACTGTGGGATCATTAGTCAAATATTATTTTTCATCTTTCTAAGGCACTCATGAAACTGAAATATTCTTGTTACTGGCTCCAGGCTTCCACGCATAGATTGCTCAGAGGGCTCACTAGTACTCTGCTTAGATGCTGATATAGAAATAGTATTTTATGGGCTGAAACAGAATCTCTCTAAGATTAACCCCTTTGTTAATTTAAAGGCCAATGCCAGAAAGATATTGTTCTTCCTACTCCAGATTTTTAAGGAACTACTGCTTAGAAGCTGGTCACCTGTTTTTGTAAATAAAGTTTAATTGGAATATGCCATACCCATTTATTTATATATTGTCTGTGGCTGTTTCTATACCTCAGTGACAGAACTGAGATGTTTTTACAGAGATTGTACTAGCAGTAAAGCCTAACACATTTACTATTTGACCTTTAAGGAAAAAAATTGCCGGCTACTGGTCTAGAACAACACTGCTCTAGAACTTCTTATGATGACCAAAATGTTCCGTGTCTGGGTTGGCTCTTGAGCACTAAATCATGACTAGGGCAACTAAGAAAATAGATAAATGTTTTTATTTTTAGTTAATTAAAATTTAAATAGCCACATATGGCTAGTGGCAACTGTACTGGAGAGCACAGGACTTAGACCTTTAGAATGCTGTAATTTTTTAGTGTTTCTTTCTTGCCTCCCAACCTGTAATACATTCAAATAGAGCAGCCATGAGCAAAACTCTTCAATCATTGAACAAGAAAGCAAATGAAGGACATCTTCATTCATTTGGCAAAGTATAAGATTTCCATTTAATGGAAATGCTTACATTTGTTTTTCTAGCACAAAAGAAAACCAGTCCACAATGTCAATGTTTACTGAAACACTATACCAAAAACCTATTTCATATGTGGAGTTACTGGTTTAATGTTCAACAGTAAGTCCTTTTGCCTCCTCAAGCATTTTTAAGCCTTCAACTGCTTGGTCCTACCATAGCTTGGCAGTCAAAATGACACTGTAAATTAGATATTTGAGGACTGGGATGCAGTAGTTGATAATGCAGCAGCATTACTAGTTAAGTATGCATTGAAAAATAAATCTACAGTAGAATTACCATTTCCGATAAGAAAAAATAGTCCTTTGCATTATAATTCAAAAGATCTTGAGTTCTGAGTCATCAAATCATCCAATCTGTCTATCTGTGGCCATCAACCATGATACAGATACATGTGAGTCTATGCTACAGCAAATATCCATTTTTACCCCTTAATTGATGTCCAAACATGAGATATTCTCAACATTGAAACAGACTGAAAATGGGGAACCCTTCAGGTAGAGAACTGAATATTTGAGTAGGCCCTTACTAACTTCCTATAATTATATTTTTATATCATATATCATAGCTATATACATATGATTATAACCAATATTCTAATTAATATATCACATAACTAAATTTTTTCTCTCCCTCTTTCCTATAGATATATTTCTATTTCAGTTTATTTGAAAATGTGACACTTCACTCCATAAAACATTCCTCCCTACACTTATAGTGAAAAAACTAAATCCTGTGGGACACAGGATTTCATGGACTCAAAGACCCAAAAGAAAAAAAAGGGGAGTGTGAGGGAAATTATTCAGATTCTCTTGAATCTTAAGAGTTGAAGTCTTCTAGTTAGTAACTGCTTTTACAAAAGAAATTTCTAATTAGTTTAAACTAAGCTATTGATCCTATCATTTGAGCAATCCCATCACCTCTCTGGGAGTCTGTCTTGCATCTCTAAAGATGGACTAGGAGACAACAAATGTTCCTTCCACAGTTTAATTATAAATGACTCCTCTCTCTTTGTCTCTGAATTCATTTTTATTCTCTATCCACTTTACATGTTATTTCTCACAACTCATTATGATACCCATTGAAATTATGTAGATTTGGTAATTTGGCAAATTTCATAATCAATCTTATTTACAAATTGAACAATTCAGACCTAATACTTTTGTAAGGATTTGATGAACAAATAAGCCATCCAAAATCTACATCCTTTTTTTGATATATACCTGTATGGATTGCTACTGTATCAAATTGGTTTTATTTAGAAATCAACGAATACAAGGACCTATTTTGTGATGTTTATGTTTTGTTTGCTTCAGCCTTTGATTACTGATTATAAGCAAAGGGTTCAGGTTGAGAAAATTTATATTTAGAGTGACAGCATTTATATTTAGAGTGACAACAGCAGCAGGGATAATTAAGAAGAGCTAATCTCATCTCCGGGGAGTTGGTTTTCTCACATGCCATCTTTATGAGTGTGCACCTATTAACAGCTGTATCTTTCAAACTTACCATCCTGCTGTTCCTTAGAGAACTGGATCTGTCAGAAAGAAATTAACCACAAAGAATATTTTAACCAAACAAAATTGTCCTGATTTTTAAGTGTATCCAAGCTCATTCCCTGAGTAGTCTTCAAAGTAAGTTCCAGAAGTAAGCTAACTTTTTAGAGCTCAGGCATAGCTTGGACACTAGCAGGTTGAGCCACACAGTAACATGCCTCGGAGTTGAGTGACATTCCAGAAACTAAGCAGCGCTCTGCCTACATCTGGAGGAGAGAAGCTCAGTTCACTTACCAGCAATCTGGTCAGCACTGAAGGACTGAAGCGGCGAGAGAGAAGGAGAAAGAAAGGAACAACTAGTACTCTTTCAAATGCATTGACAGAATGAGTGTTCCCTGCTCGGAGATTTTTAGGAAGACATGTAAGTATCATGGTATAAGAAGGTTGCCTTGGGATATTTTCGAATCTAGGAAAAATAAAAAGCTATTGCAAAACATAGTTAGGGAACAATCTCTCTGTATCTCAATCAATCAATCAATGATTTAATAAATGCTAAAGCAAATACTTCCTGGAATAATATAATAACCTATGGTGTATTTAAATATGTCTAGTACAGATGCATTGTATTAAGAAGTACAGATACACTGCATTGAAAAGATTACCTTAAGTCTTTATTCTATTTAACTAGTAAGCTTTTACCCAATGCTTTGGAAGTAGTTTACTTAATTTTAGCTGTCATCATCATTGGATTGCTTTCTCAGGTATAATATGTTGCTATAGTTGCAGGATTTCTTCTCCCTACATTTAGATATAATAAACCTATGTGATATAGCAAACGTTGGTGAGACATAAAGTACTACTTTTGGAATAAGATGTTTTCCAGTTGGCATAACAGCTCAAATTAATCTCTTCTTTCCTCAACCCATCTCAACAAAAACAAAAAGTAGATTCTGCAGAATATGCTCTCTCCTCAGTTCTGTTCCTTGTCTGCCTACTCAGTGAGGTCCTATCTAAAGTCTGCATCTTCCTGTGAATGTCAAAGAGGCTTCCGGGAGGACCCACCATGGCGGAGCGCTGGGCTGCCCGGCAGCGGCGAGGCTGAAGCCGGAGTCGAGGGCTGCTCCAGTCCCTGAGTGGGGGCCTCCCTTGCTGAGGCTGCCTTTTATTTCTGGGGAAGCGGTGACCTCACAGCTCGCATCGGGTTTCAGAGAGAAGTGGCCATGCCCACGAAGAGTTCTTTATCTTTCTTAGGGCAAAGGCAAAAAGGGATCTGCACCCTGAGGGCTATTTTTAGGAAACCAGAACCCTGGAGTGGACAGCAGGAGGGCGACTGAAGCCTGTCAGGACTTTTATGGTCTTTATCCTGGAGGTGTGCTCTTGCAGTGTCTTCCTTTAAGAAACTTAGTTGTTTTAAGAATTCTTATTTGTTCAGTGGTGGAGGAACTCAGAATTTCTTGAAGGGCTCAGGCTGACCCCCTTCTCTTGGTATTATGGACTTTTTAAAATTTCAAGTCAGCAGGTTTTGATACTGATGGAATTTATTGGATGGGATGGGTTTGGGGTTTCAAATGGCAAGTGCTGTAGAAGGACCATCCTCTGAAGCTCTGGCCCCTGTAGTAAAGTTCAGAGGTCTTGAAAAGGCCACATACATTCTGCATGTTTCTGAGGGTTCACCCAAGTGACAATGAAGCCAGTTTTGGAAATCTCCAATTAAAGACCAAGGATGGTTTTGAGCCTCATTTCCACCATTCTCGCTTAGTTTTCTTAGATTGGGGTGGGTATTTTCCTTCCTCCTTTTTATATTTGTGGCTGCTGACTAGTCATATTTGTTAAATTTATTTAGTTCGTCCAGGAAGGAAAGCTTATAGGCCACTTTTGCATCTTCTTTTCTCATTCTATACATATCTTTTTAAAATTTGAAAAATTTGCCCAAATTCTCACTAGAATGTGCTAATTCTGTTCTGCCATATCAAATATTCTTGTGACAGAAATGGAAGCTAGTAAAACTAAGCCAAAAACATTAAAAATGCTTTGAATCATTAGAGGGAAATGGGAGGGAAAAAGGTGGAAATTTGTAACTTTTGATAATTGTGTGGTTTAGAGTCTCATGATTTTTGATGAACAAATTAAAGCCATTAGAGCAAACTTTGTGTTTTTTAGTCTTGCCATTAATTTACATATATGCCATTAAATTTGAATTGGCCTATGAATAATATTAAAAATTAATATATTTATCTATATTAAAGATAACTAAAATAAACTCATCAAAGTTGCCCTATATCATGCCCATTTTCACTTTTCTTAGGTAAAAAAACATGTGTCCTTGAATATGTATAAAACATGGTCAATTTGTATAGAATCTGTTGAGTACAATGTGAAGTCATTTTGAAAATTGTTGTATGTTATGTATAAGCTATTGCTAGCCAGTTGGATATTGTATAAAGGCTTATTATTATTAAAACAGAAGTGGCAGCTGTCTAACTATTTCACTTTGGTTTTCCTCTCTATCTTTATCACAAAGAGAATAAGAGTTCAGATTATTTTGTACCTATGGAGAATCAAAGTAAACATTGACAATGGTAGGGAAGACTACAGTCTAGTCTAGTCTAGAGTCTAGAGAATCAACTGCAGTTGAAAAGTTAGTAGACCTAGATGTTGTGCCCATAGATGTTTCCTTCCTGGATGAACTAAATAAATGGGAAATACTACTATTTTCTTGTACTCCTTTGCAAATGACAAAAACCTTCTTTTGTATCTCTTCCTTGGTGTTGCAGCAATAAAATAATCAGCCCTTTGAACAAAAGCCTGATGTGAATACAAAATGTTAGCTGATTTTGGACTCAGTTTGCTGTGTCCTCATTAGGTTTGTTTTAAAAATTAGGTTTAAATCTCTTCTGTCCAGAATGCTCTCTTCTCACCTCTGCCTTTTAGAAGTTAACTATTCTTCAAAGCTGTTATGAAATCTCCTTCTCTTGAAAGAACTTTTTCTCTCTATTTACCTAGCCCTTTCTCCCACTGCAAGATGTTAAATCTTCCTGATTGTAAACTTCTGGGAGGCACAGGTCATTAGCGAAAGCCATTTCCCTCGTGATGCAAACCTGGGTGCAGGTCTCTCCCTCCTAAAGTACTGGACCTACCTTATTATCTCCCATAACTCTGCAAAATACCTTGCCTATACTGGATGCTTAACTAATTTTAATTAAACGAAAATAATTAGAATATTGTAAGTTCCTCCTTCAGACCTTGGCTCTTCCTCTAGGATATTAGATTCCTGGAGAGAAGAAACTATATTAGTTCCTTCAAAGAGTTTACATTCTAGAGGAGGTGTGTATATCCTCCTTCAGTGCAGCATCTCCAGTACCTAGAACTGCCCAGCATGTAGTAGACATGCTCATTTTGAATTATTGATGTATATGCCTTCATTTTTCCAGAGCCTTTCCCTAGATTTTGTATAAATGTTTATGATCAGGACTTCTAATTGGCCAACCTCAATTTGGTTTTCAGCCTATACACTTACATTGGACTGTTAGTAAAATAACTACATCCTGTATTTTTATGACTCATGCACTATTCAGTATTGGATTTAGGTAAGTAGTAGGCTACCAAATAGCAGCAGTAAAAAGGACTTTCATTGCAATGTTTACGGATCCTTTCTCATTTTGAGAAGCATTTTTCTAATAGAAGTAATCATTAGAAGTTTGGTTAGCTGGTTAAAGGCACAATAAAGTTTCTGATATATAGAAGGGATTGATTTATAGGAAAAATATTAAAGTGCCATTCAATCAACCAGGCTCTGCCATTGGTGCAAAGCTTTAAGTACATTTTGAGTTATAATTAAAGATAATCTGGGAGATACAATTTTTAATTGAGAAAACATTGCTGCATATGTTCTGATTTGATGCCTGGCAGAGGGCCAAAGAACTGCATGTGCTCAAACACTTAGGAAAACTGAACTTACCAATTTTCATCCCAGTTTCACAGAGTTATTAGAAATCCCCATAAAAGGCCAACAGAAGTACTATTTTTGGAACTCTGAGAGCTCTGTACTTCAGAATAACTCAATTTAAAGAAAATAAATATTTTTCATTGCATTTCTTTACCTCAAAAAGGCTATACTTAGGCTGGTGACTAAAAACAAAAAGGAGATGGTATAAAAAGGAGAAATAGAGAATATTGAGAATATAGTACCAACCTGAGTTATGTAAGGTAAGAGAGAATAGATGGCTATATTGGAAAAAATGATCTGAACAGAAGAGCAAAAGAGTAATTTTGTGCTCAGGAGGTAGACTAGTCAACTGAATTCAGTCACATTAGAGCAAAGGCTGAATTATTAAAATATCACAGTTCAGACCTACAAGAATTAACGGAGAGGCTTAAGTGAATTTTGATAAAAATTTTAAAATGTGGCCCAAGTATACATGTCTTCGTATTTCTTATTGTCTTCCTTATAGTTAATAATCCATAAATAAATTTAAGACCTCTTGGAGTTGCACCTTCTTTACTTTGTGCATTTGTTTGTATGCAACTTATTAAAAGTCCAAGCTATGTTTTGTTTCTTCCTGGCTCTTTCCATTTTTAAAATATGAGCATTAAAAAAATTCTTTGTGTATGTGTTTTAAGAATTTATGAGTATCTGCTTTTTCCTACTTATCTGGAATAAAAGTTCCTTTTGTGACATGAGGGATGTGTGAATATTGGCATTAATAGATTTTAGAGATTTTAGGTCTTTAGATATGGTATAAAGAGAACTAGATGGGGATTGAAGTATTCAGAACTTTTTTCTGGCTATCATAACAAATCATGTGCCTTTGATAAAATAACTTATCTGGGTTATAGATTCCTCAAATATAAAATATACTGTGTGATTTCTAAGGTTACGTAATGATTCTTCAGTGTTGTGCGCTTTCCATTCTTTTGTCAGTAGAAACTACTTCAACTCATTTTTTTAATGGAAAAGTTCAGGGAGCCTACAAATTCAACATTAATATTATTTTGAAGCTGTTTAGATAAAGAGTGGTTTAACAAAATATAATTTCAGATGTTTTATAAACAGGAAACCCCATACCATTGGGCATTTCCTAGGTACAGAGGAACTCACTCGCCATAGTGGAAGAAAGAATATAAAGTCAAATAAGATGTCGTTTTGTCTTTAGGAAAATTTTTCTTCTCTGACTTCTACTCAGATTTATAACCAGAATAGCAAGGATTTATCATCCATATAATCTAAATTTTAACTTGTATAATCAAAGCCATCACTACTTATCTATTGCAATTTTTGTCCTCCAAATTCTGATTTGGGGTGAGAACAAACTATAGAAGTTTATGTAGAAGCTATAGAAGATCCTATTTTCATATGAAAAGTATTTCAATATGAAGAGAAGCTGAAGAAAGTGTAGTATCAGCAGACTAAATATAATCCTTTCCACAATTTCCATGAGTCAGATGGTGCTTAATGCTGGATAATTATGGAATGACTTCTAAAGACAACTTGCCAGGGGGTTCATTTGCAACATTAAAATGTCAAGAGGCTAAATTTGGCATTGTCACTTTGTGGTCTCACTGTATTGCAAAGATTTCATTATCTTTAAAGTTAAAGGTGCTATTCACTATTAATTGGTGAACATATCTATTCTTCCCAAATTGCATTTTACTTTAACAAGACATTATCCAGTTACATATGATTCAAAATATAATTTTACAGCAAGTTGTAGAATGCCCTTTAATATTTTCCTACTCCATTTCTCCTATTCTTTTACAATGTAGATATCTAACAGTGTAAACTTGATACTGATACCTACTAATAGTCTTAAATAATTTTTTATTTGCTCCTGAGGTTATATTCACACTGACAATGATTCACATTGCAGTTGGTTGAGATTATACCTGTCTTAAAAATTAATTAAATTAAAAAATTAAAAATTAAAAGAAGACAAACTCAAAATTATATAAAGAAAACTTAGAGACCACTTATAATCAGAAATTCCTTCTAATCATTCCTTCTAATCAGAAATTGACTATATGTGTTCTTTTTTGACTTCTTTCCTCAAACTAGTTAAGGTTAAGATGTAATCATTATACATGTGGCATTATATTTCTACATATCAGTCCAAAAAATATTTCCTTGGGATTTCCAGTTTAAATCATGCTATTTATTTTAAACAAAATATAGATCCCGTACCATTCTCAGAATATTAGCCTGATGGCAAAATTTGGATATCAGGTTTGATATATGTAAATGTTTAATTAGAAAAAATTAAAATTCAATCAGTTTTACTACATTTAACAGTATTTAAAAAATACTTTGGTATAGTTTTTTTTCCAGCTTTATTGAGAAATAATCGATGTAACATTCTGTAAGTTTAAGGTGTACAATGTGACGATTTGATATGTGATACCTTTGATATTACAAAATTATTACCACAAATAAGGTTAGTTAACACATTCATAGTTAACGCACCTTACAAAATTGTCTTGTGTGAGTGTATGTGTGAGAACTTTTAAGATCGACTCTATTAGCAACTTTCAAGTATACAATACTTCATTGTTAACATAATCACTATGCTGTATATTAGACCCCCAGAACTTATTCATCTTATAACTGGAAATTTGTACCCTCTGAGCACCTTCACCCATTTCCTCCACCCCCAGTTCCACCCCTGGCAACTACCAATGTAATCTCATAAGTCTTTTATATATCCATGTTACATTTACAACTTTTTACAGGAAACTGGACCAAAATGAGTAGGAGTCGTTCAAGGTTCCTAGTATTCCGCCCTCCACTTGTAAAAGAGAATACCCAACATGTCAGCAACAGGTGCTAAGATAGGCAAGAGCTGAGGACAGCCGAACAGGAGCGAATAGCCAAGGTCAAAGTCTTGTGAACTTGCTCCGATGTGTGTCTCTTGCCCCCTCTTCTGGCTACTCAGGGCTGTGCAGGGCAGTCTAAGAACCCCTCTACCTCACACACTTAAGAGCAAAAATTGCTTCTTCACAAATCTTAGAAACAGCAACTTTTTAAAACAGGATGTAGTTGAAGACATAATTAAGACGGCTGACTCTGGATTTGGCCTGTTAGGTTAAATCCTAGCTCCATCACTTACTGGCTATTTGATCATGAACATACCACCGTACCTCATTTAGGCGCAGTTTCTTTTCTTGCAGAATGAGGTTAAAAACAACCTCAAGGTAATGTTTGGAGGAATAAATAAGATAATAGGGCACAGAGCAAATTCACAATGAACATTGGTTGTTATATTACAAAGAGCTTTATAATTTTCAAAGTCTTTCATGAGCTATGACTTCATTTGATTTTCCCAACAATTCTTCTAAGTGGGACTGAGTTTGCCTTGTTAGAGATGAGAAAAAAGAATGTATAGATGAACAAAAACAATGCTATACATGGACCAAAATAAGTCAGGTATTGCAATGCCTACATAATATACCTCCGCTGAATACCCATCATTAAAGAGATGTATTTATTGGGAGTGCTGTATTTCCACCTTACCCATTAAATAGAAAGTTTAAATTTTTCCAAGAAATGGTCAATCATGGCAGTGAGACTTGATATCTGATGAGTTTCTGTCAATGCCTTCTGCACCTTTCTTTCGTAAAAATGCCCGCCCACAGGATCTAATCAGGGGTGACCACTTTGATGAATACAGTGAGAATTAAACTTAGGCAGCACCATGAGAGACATGGTTCAAAGTCCTGTCATCTCCTAGCAATTCTGACATGTTAGCTAAGGCATACACTGTGCAAAAAATTCACTTGTACATTGGAGAGCTTTTAAAATCTAGGCACACGGTCATCTCATTACTTATTTACTTCATTATTTCACTTGGTTGAAGTTTTGGCAACAAGGGCTAATACTCGTGTTTGCACCTGCAACTGTAACTCGTGCTGGGTTTCAGTTCCTACCCTGGAGAGTCTGTCAGGCAGTGTCTTTTAGTCTGGGCATGATTGCTGAAGTGTCCGCTCTCTGAAAGCAAGAATGCTTAAAACCACCCAGGAGGATAACTTTAATGTTTAAATATTGGCGGTTAATTTTGTTTTCAAAAGGATACTAGTAGAAAATCCATGGGGATGGGACATCAGTTAAACATTCCCTCAGAGAATATCAAAGGTTTTATGTCAGAAGAAATATAGATATGCTGAGGAAATGTTCCAAATAAATGGCCTACAAACCAGGAAATTAGACTGGAAAGCACATTTAAGAAATTGATAAAACTAATTAATGATAGCTAAGATTTTTCAGAGTTTAGGGGAGTCAAATGTATAGGTATTAAACATGGTGTATTATAAGATGGAACATAGGTATTAGCTGGAAATAGTGAGGATTTAAATATTACTGTTGCTATGAATATAATATCACAAAGAGAGCTACACTTAAACTTTATTATTACTCAAAATCTAAAGGGCAACTGATTTCTAATCTTGTGTGATTTATGAAAGAAAGTTTAAAATCCAATTAAGTTTTGTTCTTTATCGAGTTTTTAGGAAGTTAATGAACACATATAACAGCTCTATTAATTTCTTTAAAGTTCATTTTCTCTGCTTGAAAAAAGTTTATAACTTATATGAGGTCATATATCTAGAAACATCATTAAGTGATTAAAAGCATCATAATATGAGATGTTTTAATGTACATTTTAATTAGCCTTGTTACCTACTGGGATGGAATTAAATTTTTATAAATTTTGCAATTTGCATCACATTCACTGGCTATGTTATAATACCTATAAATATGTACTGATTTCATACTGGTGAATGCAAATCATTGAAGGTGTTTAAATCCCTTCACAAAAATATATTAGTTTTAATTCTTTTTTTTGTTCTCTTTTTACCAGGAACAGTCTGGGTGAATGAAAGATAAAGATTAATTCCCTCCTGTTTCTTATAGATTCTCCTTTTTGGTATGTATCCCTTATAAGAAATAGACATCCATCCCATCTCTTGTTCTGTAATGTAATAGTGGAGGTGGAGAATACTCTATCTTTACAGAGACTCTCTAAGAGTATTTTGTTCCTTTGCTTAGTTGTACTAGCTCATTGCTAGCATTAATTCAACATATAGTTGAAGAATAAACCAATTTTAACATTCAAAAAAGCATTACTTCTTTAACTATGAACAAGTAACCAGTTTAATTTCTGGATTAAAAAAATGATGTTTTGTCTTTCCTTTGAGATGTCTTACTACTGAACTAAATTCTTGTTTACTTGTCCTTACACCTTCCTCAAGGAAGAAAATTAATGCCTGCTTTCATTAGTGTCATACTTCTTTTTCTTCTTAAGAAGGCACATGTTTTCCTTTCCATATGGTTGCAAACCCAGATACAGAAAGATGACATTGTCTTATAAATCACAATAATTACAAAGAGGAATAGCTTTGACACAGATTGATATCTGTAATGTTAATATAGAGTGGAGAGTTGAAGAATGGAAAAAATCAGAATTACCGTAGTTGCTATAATTGTGCTATTTGTATAATGCAGTCTGTGTGCATCTACAAAGATACATTGACTATGATTGCTGGAGATGAAAAACTTGGTTTCTTCTTAATGAAGCGTATACACGCAGTCCTCAAGGTAGAAAAACATTTATTATGAGATCTGACATGCATTTCTCCTTTAAGTGGATATTCATTAAGAATAGTTCCTAACCAATATTAGATTCTATGGTCAACTTTTTTCAAATAGGACTTCAGGTACTACAAACTCAAAATATTTATGATAATCTACTTCTACTTTTAAACATAAAATTTCATGTTTAACCAGAATGCTATAAAAATCATGAATGTATTTATTTAAGTTCATCAGGTATATCTGAGGGTGTCCTAATTCAATATTTATGTCAGGAATATTTGTTAAAATATACAATTATACTATTGGTGCACATGGTGTGTGTGGGGTCACGGGGAAGACAGTGTAGCTCAAAGAGGACAAATAGTGACTCTGTGGCATCTTGCTACACTGATGGACAGTGACTGCAATGGTGTAAGAGGAGGGACTCAATAATAAGGGTGAATGTAATAACCACATTGTTTTTCTTATGAAACCTTCATAAGGGTGTGTATCAATGATACCTTAATAAAAAAAATCTACAATTAAAGTAAAGTAGTAAATGAAATGTTTATTTTACAGGTCAACTTTGCCATTGCAAATAAGTAGTATTATTTTAGCAAAATTCAGATGATGTACAGAACTTTTGGACTAAGTGAAATGATTATCTCAGAGGAAGTTTTGCCCACTGATTTCCTTATAAGGCTGGGTTCCTGAGATGAAGATTTTCAAATTGTCACTTGGACCAATCAGAGTCCAGTGAAGGAGGAGAAGGAGCACATTTGATGGGTCACAATTCTGAAAGGTAGCAGGCAAATCCATTGCATCATTTTTCCAAAAGCAGATAATCTTTTGACATTTGAGAACTTTGATCACAGCAAAGTGTTGGCACAAAAATCAATCACATTCCCCTTAGTTCAAGATCAGTATGCAAAAGTTCAGACAGAAGCTAAAAGCCATACAACCAAGAAGTTCTACAATATTTTTTGGGTTAATTTCATTTAGACGCAACTCACACATTCTGAATTAAATAGTGTATATAAATAAACAAGATGACAGTTATAGTCACTGAAACATTTGAGTGCATAATTGTCTGCACTGAGATCTCATTTACTGTTGTATCAAATTTTATTAAGCAAAGCTGAAAAGGGAATTAACTTGAATTGTGAAAATCTTGTTTTTCAGATGAAATAAAGCAGCTGTCAAATACATCCAGGACAACTGGGTCATCAGCTGTTTTTAAACTTTTGGAAACAAGTAGGGCTAAAACTTTCCTTTCAATGTAACTTTAAGGCGAGGCACCCAATTTCCACAGCAATTTTATTAAAAAACAAAAAAGGTACTGGTTTAAGTGTTTGGTAAACACCTTTACACTTTGCATTTCAGCAAATTAGGGAAAAAAGGAAATGAGGAGAACAAAAAATAGAGCCAATACAGGTTCCATATACAGTATCATATTCATAGTAATGTTACTGAAATTAGATGCCAGGGTTTATAATTTAATTAGGTTTCTTTTCTCCCCAAATCTACCAGTTCATGCAGTAATGCCATTTTGGTCAAGTAAAAATACACACCCCTTTGCAAGTTCCAAGAGTTTCCTACTGTTGAAAGATGTTTCAGTGACCAAACAATTCACCCGTTTAGTTACCTTAATGGCAGAGAGGTCAATTTTTTCTTCTTTGGGTTTGGCTGGGGCAGGGGCAGGGGCAGGTGCTGGAGCAGGGGCTGGGGCAGCGGCTGCAGCGGGTTTCTTCACGTCCCTCTTTGGTGCCATTTTGTGTAAAAGGATGGGTCACAAAAAAAAAAAAA